AGAATTGCTCTTTCCTTCGTGATGAGCAGTCTAGAGCCTGAGAAAGTGTGACAATAAATTTGGGAGGTGCTTGTTGTGGAGGTAGTGGCAGTAGTGGATCAAACTTGAAGTCCTCAAACGGGAAAACATGGATTTGTAACAAATGGGAGCTAACATGGCAAATGTTATTTTGTAACATAGTAGGCACTGCAATAATTATGATAACTATGAAAATGGAGATGAAGAGAGGGTGAATGGTGAAGGAACACTGATTTGTCTTAAAACGTCTAGAGTGGGGTAGATTTACAAATAAGAGGCCTTCACAATTGTATGTCTAGTGATGAACTCTTGCTAATATTTTGTTTATTCAATCAATCTGGAATATATTTTCACGATAAGACAAAGCCTGAAGATGAAAGTAATGTTGCTTATGACAACCTCTTGTAACAAAAGTTCTCGTGTAAGCTTTTATTGGTGGTAAATTTTGTTAAACTTTATGAAACTTTAAACTATAAAACTTAAAAACCTAATTACTTTATTACTAAGATCTTCCATGTCAAATAATCAATAAAATTAATAATGCTGAAGATACCTTAATTCTTTGAGAATAATTCTTTAATACTGGATTTTGAATCTTAATTATTGGTTATTGAGTTCTTGATCTTGATTTTGGCTTCTTGCTCCATAATCTCAATTGTCTTGTTCTTCGATTTAATTGCTCAAATCTTTCATCTTGATTCTTTTTTTTTCAATCCTTGATCTTAATTGTGGGTTTTGAATTTTCCTCTTCAATATGATTTCTCTTATATTCTTGTGTTGATGAAATGACACAAAAAATGAGAAGTTGCATATGAATTGGGGATCATAACCATATTTATAGTTTCCATATGTATTTGGTCAATCGTCAAATACAACTCTAATGGATCTGATCTCTACATATATAATTCGGCCCACGCTTTATTTAGATCCCTTAGACCTGTAATTCAATTATTTATTAATCATTTTAATTGGGCTCAACTTTAAGATAGCTTTATACACTATTAATTTTAATACTATGTAGGCCTACATGACAAATTAATAAACCCAACAATCTCTCATTTGGATCACATATGTTACCTTATAAATGTGTACAACATTATGACGTCAAAACTTTTGCTATCATAACCAAAAGCATAT